ATAAGTTATTGTGCAGCCATTCAAATACTTCAATGTTGAAGGTTGATTGGTCTTTGAATTTGCCCTCTCCTTTGTTCCCTAACAGAAGAAACCATGCAGGGTTTGTCATTCGGGTTGAGCTCGAACTACCTATGCAACCTCGGTTGGCAGGTTTGATGTTAGAGCTCCTTAGATTCAATGACGAACTCCGTGGGAATCCTTTGCTGAGTCCAGTGATGCTCACAACCAAAATCCACGGCTCAGCAACAAACCTCTGTTTTGTGTCGTTTCTATGGAGGCAGCCGATTGGGATTAACGGCTTGTCAAGTGGAGTGCACGTTATTTGAGGCCCAAGGTAGCGGTTGTCGCGGCAGTGCCGCAGCCCGCAGCTCCCTATCGATCTGCTTCTTTTTCTACTGTTTGGTTACATCAAGATGGTTGCTTCTGTAGTTCAGTTAACCCTTCTTTTCACAAGGATGGCTAGTTGTTTACAATTTTCATCTTTAGATATGTAACGGGGTTTATCCCCTAAAATCTGTTCATGCTTAATAAAATTTATATTTCTCAAAAAGAGACGACTTGCTATTGTCTGTCAAGTTGAAGATAGCTGGGATGAGACAATCATCTATATTGATAATTCTCCTAACCGTTGCGTTAATCTCAGTTTGGAGAATTTTTTCAGGCTATTTCGTTCCCTGACACGTTGCATGTTTACGCTAAACTTGATCTCCTCGTGCATGCGTTCGTCACTGGCAGGTATTGATCGTCCGGTTAATCTCGTAGATTAGCCTTGCTTCTTCTTGCGCTTGCGTACGTGCCGGTAGCTGTGGACGTACGGGTCGTTGCCGGTTAATTCTAACTGTCCTCTTCCTTTTTAATCATCCGATTCCTTTTCTATTTCAGTACGTGCCCTTCCTTCTTTCTCTATGTGTCTTGTTGCTTTTCCTTTTATGTGCCTGTCTTTCTTACTTATGTAACATGAAGCTAGAGAAGAGAAAATTCCGTTCTCTGTTCCTTGTTTGGAATGAGTGATTATGTAGGGATCGATATGGATGTTAGTTGTTAGTTACGCGGTGTGTTGTTAGTGCTGATTCATCTCTTTGCGTGTTGGGCATGCGTTTTTAGGCTGTTTAGTCTCGCGGTGCTGGCGCATTGATTATTATATTGTTGTTCGATTTGCTGTCATCATGCATGTCTTGCTTTCATGCATGGTGCATGCCTCTACACGTGCTCCGTTTTACTGTTCCTTTGTTCGGTTTTTAAGAATATAATATAATGGTTCGATTCTTTCTCGTCTAATCCGATGGCTAGCTGCTACTACTACGATGGCAATAATTAGTGTCACTGAAGGTTTCATTCTCATCAAATATGATAATATGTACGTACATATATATAGTAAAACAACGGCTAAGTAAAATACAGATCGGACCGTTGCTTTCGCTCGATGTCTTTCATGTATGTATAACAAGTAACTAAATACTCGGTACATAAGTCCTCTACAGCTGATTAGGACACATGTGGATTTTATTACTATATATTATCCTAACCTTCTACGATCCATCGGTAATGAAAACTACTTAACGAACAATTGACCTTTTATTTTTAAATCTAAATAGAAGAAACAACGCAGGATCATTAAGGGTCCAAAAAATAGTTGTTTAATAGTAGTAGTAGTAGTAATGCGTAAGCTAAGCTTAATTAGGTAGTAGAATTGGACTAACCTTGCTTGCCTGACTTACCCTCTTGGAGGAGTACATATTTTATATCAGTAACAATCATGGTTCATGCTTACCCACGTAAATTGTGCGGCTAGCATATCCTTTATATTTTCTCTCATATAGTAGCATATATATACATATTCTCATTTTATTATTAAGATATCTTAAAAATAATAACATAATTTAAATTTTGTACTAGCTTGATCAAACTATCAATGTGCAATATTCATATCGTGTTGTATGCACATAATAGTTATTAACTATTTTTAATATCAATTTTTAGTTATTTCTAAATTATATTTTTATATGGATTCCAGACTCATCTTCCAACATACTTTATTTTTTAACTATGAATTTCTATTATTTATAAATTTTATTCCTATATTTCTTATTTTAAATCCAAAATTTTAGTTATTTTTAAATTATTCTTCTATATGAACTCTAGACTTATTTTTTAATTCCGAATTTTTACTATTAATAAATTATATTTCTATATGAACTCTAGACTCTTCTTCTAATATTATTTTTAAAGAAAACTGAATTTTTATTATTTCCAATTGTATTTCTATATGGACTCTAAACTCTACTTTTAATTTTATTATTTTTATTCCTAATTTTAATTAATTCTAAATTCCTATAAAGACTCTATACTCTTCTTCTAATATCCCTTATTTTAATTTCTGATTTCTATTATTTTTAAATTGCATTTCTATATGGACTCTAAGCTTATCTTTTAATATTTATTTTTTTAATTCCTAATTTCAGTTATTTTCAAATTGTATTTATATATGGACCCTATATTCTTCTTACAATATTTCTTATTTTTAATTCCGAATTTCAGTTATTTATAAATTATATTTATATATGGACTCTAAACTCTACTTTTAATTTTATTTTTTGCCATATTTTAATTAATTCTAAATTCCTATATAAACTCTATACTCTTCTTCCAATATCCCTTATTTTAATTTCTGATTTCTATTATTTCTAAATTATATTTCTATATCGACTCTAAACTTATCTTTCAATATTTTTTTAATTTCTAATTTCAGTTATTTTTAAATTGTATTCCCATATGGACTCTAAACTTATCTTTCAATATTTATTTTTTTAATTCCTAATTTTAGTTATTTTTAAATTGTATTTCTATATGGACTCTATATTTTTCTTACAATATTCCTTATTTCTTTAACTATATTATGAAAATTAAAGATGTTTTTGCCGGAATTTTAGTACGTCATTCGTGTTTGATTAAGTTTTTAGTTGGTTTTCTAATATTTATATCGCATAACGTACCGTTTGGTTCATTTGTATCATACAAGTATGGTGTGGTAATGGACAAATACCATGTGGCTCGGTTTAGTTCCCAAAACATTTTCGCAAAAACATCACATTAAATCTTTGGACACATGTATGGAGCATTAAATATAGATAAAAAAAGATAAACTAATCGCACAATTTGCATGTAAATCGCGAGACTAATCTTTTGAGCCTAATTAGTCCATGATTAGCCATAAGTGCTACAATAACCCACATGCATGTGCTAATAACAGCTTAATTAGGCTCAAAAGATTCGTCTCACGGTTTCCAGGTAAGTTATGAAATTAGTTTTTTTATTCGTGTCCGAAAACCCTACCGACATCTGGTCAAACGTCCGATGTGACACTCAAAAAATTTTATTTCATCAACTAAACATGCCCGTAGCGAATTTGTTTATGCCGGTGAAGTCACATCATGTACTTATGTAGGACTGGACGAGTTTGAGTTTTACAATTTTTGGTACGTGCCGACCGATCGAGCTGTCCAGCAGCCATGGACGTACTTTTTTTTATTTGCAACGTGAATTATATAGTAGTATATGTCTATCTCTATCTCTTCTCTACTTATGTTTCTACTGGGATTATGGTATATCATCTGTGCTTAAATCGGTTTTTAGTTATTTTTTTCTTTATCTCTATCTCTATCTCTTCTCTACTATTGTAAAAATTAAAGATGTTTTCGTCATTCGTTTGGTAAGTCACCAGTATCCAATTCGATGTAAGTCTAAAATAACTATTATACACCTCCTCTCAGTCCAATCCCTCCCTTTCCCAGTCCAACTCAACCCAACCGACCCACACCATCCTGCCGCCCTGTCCCGCGCGCCTGCCTTGTGTGCCGCACATGCCCCGGCCTCCCCCACTAGATGCCTTTTTTCTCTCCTTTTTTTTTCTCATTTTCTTTTCTCCCAATCTCTGTTTTCTCCTCCTTTTTTTCTCTTTTCCCTTTTTTTCCTCTTCCCAATTTCTCTTCTCATAAATATTTTTCTTTTGAAATTATTGTTATTTAATGTATGTATGCGGCAAGCTTGTTATTTGCAACTCCTTTCCATCTATAGTAAAAATCTTTCACTAATTAAATAATTAAGATTTTAATTTTTGATTGATGAGAGTATCTCTTTAGCAATATATAGCAAAATACACATACGTCAATTTATGGAATAGCCACCCAATCGATATGTGAGGCTATGGAAAATGTATAGAATGGATTCTTCATGTGATGACGCATGAAGCGAGTGTAACCGGGTTCAATGCTATATGATTTATGACTTTGCTTTGTCACGGTTTTGTTTGTCTTGTATCAGTTTCTCATTTAAATTGGAATTTTTATCAATCATGAAAATTGTCTTCACCCGTTGCAACACACATGCATTTTCATTAGTTTCTTTAATTTTGAATTTTCGTTATTCTAAATTGTATTTATATATGGACTCTACCCTCTACTTTCAATTTTCTTTTTTTAATTCCAAATTTCCATTAGTTCTATTGTATATCGGTATAGACTCTAGTTTTCTCTTTATATATTCCTTATTTTTTATTTCGAATTTCAGTTATTTTTAAATTTCATTCCTATATAGACTCTGTTTTTTCTTTTTCTCAGATTAATATGAGAATTTTTAGGCTATGAAAGCGAACATGTATTATCCTAACCTTGTACGATCCATCGGTTATGAAAACTACTTAACGAACAATTGACCTTTTATTTTGAAATCTAAGTAAAAGAAACAACGCATGATCATTATTAAGGGTCCAAAAAAGAGTTGTTTAATAGTATAGTAGCAGTAGTAACGCGTAAACTAAGCTTAATTAGGTAGTAGAATTGGGCTAACCTTGCTTGCCTCACTTACCCTCTTCCAATTGGAGGCGTATGTACGTATTTTGTATCAGTAATAATAGGGGTACGTACGCACGCATGGTAACTAAGCTACTTGCTAGTGCTATATATAGGGGTACGTACTTTGCTGGGGAAATCGGAACTCAATAGCTAGCCCAGTACATTCCATCGATCAATACACTACGCTAGCACGAACGAATTAGCTAGGAAGAAGATCCATGGCCATGGGTGTCCTCCTGCTGATGCTGATGCTGATGCATCTGCAAGTTGGGCTGGGCCTCGGCAACGGCGGGCTGTGGCAGGAGTTCCTCCGGCTGCCGACGGAGAATGGGGGGACGAAGTGGGCGTTGCTCATCGCGGGGTCGAAGGGGTACGAAAACTACCGTCACCAGGCAGACGTGTGCCACGCGTACCAGATAATGAAGAAGGGAGGACTCAAGGACCAGAACATCGTGGTTATGATGTACGACGACATCGCCTATAACCCCGAGAATCCTCACAAGGGTGTCATCATCAACAAACCCAACGGTCCGAACGTCTACGCTGGAGTCCCAAAGGTACGTGTCCATTAGATAGTACTTTCTCCGTTTTAAAATGTTTGAATGTGGTTGACCATTCGTCTTATTCAAAAAATTTAAGTAATTATTTATTCTTTTCATATTATTTGATTCATTGTTAAATATACTTTCATGTACACATATAATTTTACATATTTCACAAATTTTTTTAATAAGACGAATGGTCAAACATGTGCTATAAAGTCAATGGTATCAAATATTTTGAAACAGAGGGAGTATTTCATTACAAGGATGGGATGGGATGAAATGAGATGAACCCAGAGGTGTTTGATTTAGAGGTGAGCGTAATGAGTTGGTTCCTGATAGAAACAACGTCAGCTTGTCCGCGCTCGTCCACGCCCTCCGTCACCTCCGCGAGCGCTGCCGCTCGTCCACTATATATGTATAATGGTTAATTATGCCCATGGATGCATGCGTGATCACTTGCAGGATTACAATGGGAATGACGTGAATAAGAACAACTTCCTGGCCGTGTTGCTGGGCAAGAAGTCGGCTCTCACCGGCGCCGGCAGCGGCAAGGTCATCAGCAGCGGCCCCAACGACCATATCTTCGTCTATTACTCAGATCATGGCAGCCCCGGATACGTCTGTACGTAATTTTTAGTAACCAATGGAATCCTTGTATATATATAAACAAAGAATAATATAATGCATACGATTAATTAAATTGAATTGGATACGACACTACGTACAGGCATGCCATCGGGGGGGAACCTGCACGCGAACGATCTTTCTCAAGCACTGAAGAATAAGAACGCGGCCGGCGCGTACAAGAACCTGGTGGTGTACGTGGAGGCGTGCGAGTCGGGTAGCATGTTCGAGGGCCAGCTTCTTCCGTCCAACATCGGCGTGTACGCGATGACGGCGTCGAACGCGACGGAGAACAGCTGGGCCACCTACTGCGACACGCCGGAGTACAACACCTGCCTCGGCGACCTCTTCAGCGTGGCCTGGATGGAGGACGCCGACGCGCGCCGCCCCGGCGATCCCGAGACGCTCGGCCAGCTGTACGACATCGTCGCGAAGCGCACCAACCTGTCACACGTCAGTCGGTACGGCGACCTAAGCCTCTCCTCCCAACCCGTCAGCCTCTACTACTTGCCCCCCGGCCCCGGCACCTCAACAGCTAGTGCCGTCATCGATGACGAAGGCCGCGTCGGCGGCGTGAACCAACGGGATGCGGGACTCGTCTACCTGTGGCGTAAGTACTACGAGGAGAAATCGGTGGAGGCATGGGAGCGCCTTCTCCGAGAAATGGAGAGGCGATCACGCGTCGACAGCAGCGTCGACCTCATCGGAGACATCCTCTTGGGCGACTCCTCCAAGAAGAAGCTCCTGCACATCCGGCGTCCGGCGGGGCAGCCGCTGGTTGACGACTGGGATTGCCTCAAGTCCATGGTGCGCACGTTCGAGGCTCACTGTGGCCCGCTGGGGCAGTATGGGATGAAGCACACACGCGCCTTCGCCAACATGTGCAACGCCGCCCTCGACCACAACCACATGGCAAAGGCCGCCTCCAAGGCCTGCATGCACCCCCCTGTCATTACTTATTAATCATCATTCTCATCGATCGAACAACAACGGCTAAATAAAATATATATTGTTTTCATGTATGTACGTAAGTAACTACATATAATACTCGATCGGTGCATATGTAAACATACTCAAGCTGGTAATCCCGGCCTGATAATTAAAATAAAGACATGCATCATGTGCATGTTTGTTGTGTTATTTTCAATGTTTTTTAATTTTTCTAGCATATATACTTCCTCCGTTTTATATTATACGACTTTCTAGCATTGTACATATTCATTTATATGTTTCATTAATATATCTATATGAATGTAGATCATGCTAGAAAATCTTAGAGTATAAAGCGGAGTGAGTATCGTTTTATGTTGTCAGCCCCCAATTTTAGAAACCAGAAACCTCATGTGTTTTCCTATATCAGTAGTTGGTACGCACATATAAAGCAATATCATAACATAGGGTGCGCGGAAATAAGACTAAAATGATTAATTACCTTCAATTAATAGTGCTAAATAGGTCATAATCTATCTATCAGATAACCAACTGTAGAAGAACATATATATAGTGGGTCCAAACAACATGCCCACAGGCAGTTGACTAGGGCCGTGAGGACCTAGCTCACGTTCGACAATTCGATCCCTTCTCCTGTACTACTTAATTATAAGTAAGGATGAGTACTTACATACTTAGCGAGTCACCACAGAATATGCATGCAGTTATATGCAGGATATAATAAGGATAGCTATATATATGTTTCTTTGCGTAAAGCTAGAGTTTTATATTGATAGATAGTAGATTCAAACCGCATTTTCACAAATTGGTTAGAGCATCACACACGAGAGGATAACCATTCCTACTACAAACCCAATTCGCATGTGATGATGCTGGTGTATGACCTCATGCCCAACGGGTCGCTGCATGCAGGACGCGCTGCTGGGGCGGCGCTGCCAGCGGCGGGCAGGAGCCGGGAGCCAGCGGCGGTGGGACAGCGGGCGGGCGAGGATCGGATCCCCTTTGCGAGCTCGCGACTTCGAGACGGCGGCGGGCAGCGGAGACGGCGGCGAGCGGCGGAGACGAGGGCGTGGCGCGGCGGCCCTCGAGCGGTGGAGATGTTGGGAGTGGCAGCAGCCCGATTCCCTAGCTGCTGCCGCTTCCGCCCTAGATGAGCTCGACGTGTCGAGCAAGACGTTGTTGGGCTTGACGTCGCCGTGCACGACCGGCGGCTTGACGACGGAGTGGAGGTAATGGAGCGCGGCGGCCACGTCGCGGGCGACGGCAAGGCGGCGGGGCCACTCCGCCACGAGCTCCGGGCCCCCGTCCCACACTTGCGGCTTGCCGCAGGGAAGAAGAGAGAGAGGGAGAGGGGGGAAGAGGAAGAAGGAAAAAGAAAGAGCATGATTATGTGGGCTCCACATGTCAGTGAGTCCCACACATACTTTTGTTCAATGACATATGGGTCTCCCACATATTTTTAATTATAATGCCACGTCAACGCCACATGTAACGAAGACCAAGTCAATATTGCCGCGTAGGGCCCACATTAGTGAAACTGTCCTCCAAAACCACCGAGGGAGTTAAATTGTGGTTTTAATAGTTGGGGGGTCGAGATATTCGGTATTGTGGTTCAGGGATACGAATCAGATTTGGTCCCTAGTTAAGAAGTCAAAGTGAACTTACTGCAACCTAATCCCAATGCTAAACAATATATTCATGGGCCTCAATTCTCAAATCACCTAAAGAGCCCAATATGTAGTAATGGGCCAAGAAAATGAGCTTTGTTCACAACTACACAAAGTGGCCCGTTTGATCTTGATTTATGGGCTGTACGTAGCTCGAGAGACCATGCATCCATCTGCAGCACCGTTTTACAATATTTCATTTTCTCTCCTTTTCCCGTATACTGCTCTACATGTACTGTAACAATTGTAGTAGTAGTAGCTAAGGCCCTGCTTAGTTCCCAAAACACAATTTTCACGCTGTCACATTGAATGTTTGACACATGTATGGAGTGTTAAATGTAGAAAAAAAGACCAATTACACAGATTACGTGTAAATTGCGAGACGAATCTTTTAAGTCTAATTGTGCCATGATTTGACAATGTAGTGCTACAGTAAACATTTGCTAATAATGGATTTATTAGGCTTAATAAATTCGTCTCACAGTTTTCTAGCGGAATCTGTAATTTGTTTTGTAATTAGACTTCGTTTAATACTGTAAATGTGAGTCCGTATATCTGATGTGAGAACCAAACCCAAAAACTTTCCCTAACTAAGCAAGGCCTAACTTTGAAATTCACATAACGATCAAAAGATCAATAGTCAAGAAAGATATATATAGCTTAAATGCATACAACTCTGTACAAGGCATGCTTGCTTAACAGTTGTTAATAATTATTGGATGACAAACTAACTTTTTTTTTAATAACAGATGCCAAACTAACTTAACTCCCTTCCCAACCACCACGAATGTCCTAGTCCTACTCCTAGTTAATACTAATATACTCCAAATAATTAACGGGTCCCTACATATGAATGGAGGTATATGATCATATCTCAGGATAGATCGATCGATGCGATAGCTAGCGTCGATCGTTAACTCAAGACTTTGGCATTTCTCATGCAATTAAAATTGGTAGTTGCAGAGCTGTCATTGTTGATGATTAACGCAGTTCATACTGTCTACCTTAGCTAGTTTATATATATAAACAAGCTAGCTATAGCTAATATACATAGTAGTAGTAGTACATGAAAACTCTGTTTTTTTTAAGATAATGACATGAAAACTATGTTGTGAAGAAATGAACTGTTTCCTCTAAAATTATTATGTTCTGGTCCTAATTAAACAGCACGTTTCATATATAACAAATATGGCGTGGATCTAATTAACCCGAATAACAAACAACGTGTTTCAGTGTGATGGTAAAGTTTGGATCTTGTACCACGTTTTTTTCGTGATGATGGCGTTGGCGTGCGAGTCGTATATCGGTGGCAAGCAGTGTGTTAATTCCCTCCAAAAATTGACCAATTAGTACAGTAGCAAGTACTTTAATGTATGATGACGCCATTAATTTTTTATCAAACGTTTGACTATTCGTTTTATTTAAATTTTTTTTAAATATAAAAATATTTATGTCATGCTTAAATAACATTTGATGATGAATCAAGTAACAGTAAAATAATAAATGATAATTATATAAATTTTTTAAATAAGACGAATGATCAAATATTAGGCAAACAGTCAACGGTGTCGTACATTAAAATATAGAAGTAGTAGTAGGGAAACTATTTTCATCCTTCGAGGGGATATCCTCTCGTTGTTTGCATGTCACCCAAATGGTTATGAAAAAAATTTAAAAGATGTATTAACATGTGATATATCACTCCACAAACATGCAAGTTTAAATTCAACTTCTACACCTCGCAACGAAAAAAACAAATTGGACTGTGAATATTAACTAGTTATAGTTTAATTTGTTTTTTTCGTTGCGAGGTGTAAAAGTTGAATCTGAACGTGTATTTTTGTGGAGTGATATATCACATGTTAATATATGTTTTTTTTCATAACTATTTAGGTGACATGTAAACAATGAGAAGATGTTCGCTCGGGACGAAAATCCACTCCCGTAGTAGTAACTGAGAGAGATCAACTGCTACTCCAGCGAACTCTTCTCCTCCATTTCTATCTCCGCCTCCGCCTCAGCCTCAGCCTCATAGGATAGGAGTACTCTACATGCTGCCTATGATCAATATTGCCCTCATGTCCTCCTCCTCTTGCCATCCCCACAACCCCACCACCCTGCCGCTGCCGGAGCCGGACAGCAGCAAGTCGCCGGAGCCCACCTCCGTGCTCTACAACCGCAGCAGCCCGAGCACCTCCCTCGGCTCCTGCTCCTCCAAACCACCGGAGGACCCTCCTCCCCCCATCGCCGCCGACGACGACTGCGACTGGGACGCCGTCGTCGACATGCACATGCACATGCTCGCCCCCGCCCCCGCCCCCGACTCCTCCTTCCTCCGCTGGATCATGGATACCGGCTATGCCGACGCCGACACCTTTCCCGACCACCCCTCCTTCGACTCCGACCTGCTCCAACTCCCCATGCCCATGCCCTCTGACCATCCTCCTCAGCCGCTCGTCGACGACCTCCTCGACGCCGCACGCCTCCTCGACGCCGGGGACTCCACTTCCGCTAGGGAGATATTGGCGCGGCTCAATCATCGCCTCCCCTCTCTTCCGTCGCCTCCGGGCCATGCCCACCCTCCGCTCCTCCGCGCCGCCGCCCTCCTCCGGGACGCGCTCCTCCCGCCCACCGCCCTCCCCGTCTCCTCTACTCCCCTCGACGTCCCGCTCAAGCTCGCCGCGCACAAGGCCCTGGCGGACGCCTCCCCGACCGTGCAGTTCACCACCTTCACATCCACGCAGGCCTTCCTCGACGCGCTCGGCTCCGCGCGCCGCCTCCACCTCCTCGACTTCGACGTCGGCTTCGGTGCCCATTGGCCGCCTCTCATGCAGGAGCTCGCGCACCACTGGCGCCGCGCTGCTGGGCCGCCGCCGAACCTCAAGGTGACCGCATTGGTGTCGCCGGGGTCCAGCCACCCACTCGAGCTCCACCTCACCAACGAGAGCCTCACGCGCTTCGCCGCCGAGCTCGGCATCCCGTTCGAGTTCACCGCCCTCGTGTTCGACCCCCTCAGCAGCGCGTCCCCGCCCTTGGGACTCTCGGCCGCGCCCGACGAAGCGGTGGCCGTCCATCTCACGGCCGGCTCCGGGGCCTTCTCGCCGGCGCCCGCGCACCTCCGTGTCGTGAAGGAGCTCCGCCCCGCCGTTGTGGTGTGCGTCGACCACGGGTGCGAGCGCGGCGCCCTCAACCTCCTGCAGTCTTGCGCGGCGCTGCTGGAGTCTCTGGACGCGGCGGGCGCGTCGCCGGACGTGGTGTCCAAGGTGGAGCAGTTCGTCCTGCGGCCACGGGTGGAGCGCCTCGCGGTCGGCGGCGGCGACAAGCTGCCTCCGCCGTTGCAGTCCATGTTGGCGTCCGCGGGGTTTGCGGCGCTGCAGGTGAGCAATGCGGCGGAGGCGCAGGCGGAATGCCTGCTGAGGCGCACGGCCAGCCATGGGTTCCATGTGGAGAAGCGGCAGGCGGCGCTGGCGCTGTGGTGGCAGCGGTCGGAGCTCGTCTCGGTGTCAGCGTGGCGATGCTAGCTGCCTCTGCCTGGTACACTTGTACTACAAATGTTTGGTGTTCATTGATCTTGAATATTTTCAGCTTTGGGTAAATTGATCAAACCAAAGCTGCTTGTGATATGTTAGCACTAGTAGTAGTAATTGGGTAATTATTTCTTGCCTGGGAGAATTCATGCTCCATGGCATGCTTGTACAATTTGTATGGCAATGACAAAATTGGGAGTGCTCAAGAGTGCAAGCCCCCAACCTTGTGATTCAACTGTTCATAACCGCACGTCTTTCTTTTGTGCACATCTCTGATCTAATATACAGAGTAGTTCTCTTTTATTTTTGGCTCTTTCTTTCCTCTCTAGTCACTCCATCAAGGTTCTTCCTGTGGAAACACATTTCTGGGGAAAACACAAGGAAAATGTCACTGGATAATTGTATTGCTATTGCACATGATAGGCTTTGTTCACTGTTATGGTTTGCATCAACCAGTTTGCAATTAAGGTGTACCGCAACGCTGTGACTTTTCTTCTTCACTGGCAGATTTTTCTTTTCTAGTTTTTGGAAAAGGCCATCAACAATGAACAGTCCATTTGAATGTGATGTGCCTTTATTGACAGGTGACATCCATTTCACCATCTTTCACTCATCAGGATATATTGCAAGTTGCATCCTTGTTTTGTCTTGAAGAATTCTCTTCTTCTTTTCTTTTTTCCTTCAATCCGAAGCGTGATTTTCTTCTTCAATGCAGGGGATACCACAAATTTCCTCCACTACACGATGCAGAAATTAGGAACTGAAGTGAAGGGTAACATGTATGCATCCTCATACCTACCAGTAAACATGGAATTGTTTCTTCTGCTGAAGGGTCATCGTGATGACACCGACCTTCGACCATGTGGATACACTAACTTTGCTGCTTGTTATTTAGGAAGCATTTCATAAGGCAGACACTTATTGCAAAATGTCAAAGTTTCATCATCTTGGTATTTGCTTGCAGTTGCTACGTCAGTTGTTAGGACTAGTCTTTGCATTTGTTGGCCATGTGGTCCATAACCTGCTAAATGTCCAGTCAGATCTACTCAGAATTGCAATTGATTTTGGTAGAGTAGAGACTAACATGCATCCCATAGTGCAAAAGAAACCAGACCTAGAATTTTCAATGTGAAAGGTGGTTCCTTCTCCATATATTAAGTGTATTCATTCAGATAAATGTTAGAAGAAGGTTTTCTTGTCACTGCAAATCTGCATCAAATTCTTTAGGGAGTCATCACTCAACACTAGAAACATTCCATATCACAATAGATTTTGTCCTTTTGTACTCAGCTGCATAAATGAAGGACTATTTGCAGTTTATCTTCGAGCGGCTTGTATTGCAGCTTCAATTTGCGAGACGACTGTTGCAAGATTTTCGATATACTTGTGGTCACTCAGCTTTGATTTGTCCATTTTGGCTCTCCCTCTCTGATCTTTCATTTTCAGGATAGCACTATGTATGGCTACACGATTGAGACGACATGCCATCCTTTTCCTGCCCTGGGACTAGTAGTAATCTTTTCAACACAAAGCAACAGGCAAATCTCCTCTGCCTCCCATTGGTTTGTATGTATTGTAGGCTCACAGCCAAGCAGTTCCTTGTCCCATTGTCTTTCCTCGTGTACACCTTGTACACATGTATAATTATTTCTTATGGGTGTGTTATTATATGTCTTGTGTTTAGGCCTTAATCATTTGGTGTCACATGGACTTTGCCTCTCATCACATGTAGACCACACTTTTTTTTTTAATTTCACTTGTCCCCTCCACACTCTATCAGGTAGTAATACATCTCATCTCCATTAGATGAACTTTCATTTTATCTTTTGGCCCCTCATGGAACTAGTGTTAGTTGAGCTTGAACCACATAATACAGTTGAAATGCATGCACTTGTGTCTTGTCTCTTCTTGTACAGTGGTGACCACAAGTTAGCTATATATGTTCTGATAAATCCCAACATGTTCTCCAATGTGAAAAGTCTGCAAGAGTTTATATCCCCAACTGCAATTGATCAATGAATATATAGCTCAATTAGAGAGGAGGGGGGAAAGAAACATGACATACCGTATTTTTGTTTGAACCTTTGCTGAAAGATGGAGATATGATCTGATAAGGACTAATGCCTGCCATTTCTTGATTGAAGATTATGACCTCCAAAGTAGCTATTAGGACCACACAGGACACTTTCATGGGATGCCAAAATTTGTGGACTCAAAGTAAAGTTGTAATCAGCTAAACATCTATAAGCATTGCTCAAGTGTGAATGATCAGTTTAGGACCATACTGACATGGTGAGCTGAATATCCAGGTTAGAAACTGTTTCTAAAATAAAAGAGAAGCATCTTCATTGCTTCTGAACTCTGGTGCCTTGCATGTGAATTAACCTCAGGATAAAAGGGGCCTTGGGATGGATATATGGCTGCTTTACTTTACAGATTTCTCTTGCTGCCCAGGAAAGGTATTTTGCAGCCTTCAAGCAAAGTAGGATCATGGAGGCTGGCTCCCTTTCAGTTTCAGACAAGCTCTGGTAAAGATGGATAGATATTTACATGAAAATTTATTCAGACTGTCAACTGTTATTGCCCCTTTTTTTTTCTGAACCGGTACTTGTCGAAGCAGTCCTCCTGCTGCAACCTTCAGAAAAAACACTGTATTAACAAAGGCACTCTACACTGTATCAACAAAGGCACTCTGGTCACTGTCAGTGTAATTAAGCTTAGATCTTAAAATACGACCAGGAAAATGATTTTCCGGTAGCCATCAATGGGCCCATCAATCAAATGATTTGTGCTATAATGTGACTCTGGATAATCATCCAGTTGGATATGATGTTCCCAGTTCAGTACTAATATCGGTCAAAGCGCAGAAAAATAGAGATAACTGATAAAGAGGAAGACATCAAGTCCTTAGCAGCAAACGTGATTGCTGATACAGTATACATTTGTATGAGATGATGAGGTTCAGCTACAGTTGCAGAATATGTGATCCAGTGATTGCTGACGAGTGATGACACCAAGTTCTTTGCAAAAACATGATGGAGACTGGCATGTTTGTTGAGATGATGACCACCATCTGAATTCTGATGGATGGTTAGGCTGTGCCGCATTTTGGAGCAAGCTTTCGCTCGCTGCCTCTCCTTTTGGAGGATGCATTGCCATAACAGCTTTCTTTATGTCAGCGTCCCATTTTTTACACACGAATTATTGACAGTAACAAGTAGTAGAGAATATAATCAAGTCAACAACAATACTACTACATTGTAGTTGCATCCTACTCCAAAATACTTGTGAATGGAAATGAAATTGGCACCTCTTTCAAAAAATTAAGTTTGCACAGCCAAAAACGTTTCGAAAAAGAGCCAAGTACATGGGGCTTCCATTCCAAAAAAAGACTTCCTTACCCACAGGCCACATTTCTCCTTATCATTTATCACCTTGGACAGAAAAAATGAAAAAGGTTTAACTCCTGGAGTAGAAAATTTGTCTTAAACAAGAGAACATCAAACTTCCACTACGCGCTGTAAATTGTGATTTAGCTCAGGATAAAAATGCATTTACAGAGATGACAAGGGATGCTGTGCTGACTCCTATGTATGTTTGCTCTTTGGTTTCAAGACCTCATGGGGCCGTGCCGAGGTTATACAGTGTAAAACAATGAAAAGAACGAAGACACCGTTATTGTGAGCCTTATTTGTGAAAACCTACAAAAAATAACTCTCCCCGTCATCCTCATTTACAGCAACATGGTCGTTGGATTCTCGATGTAGCCCTTGAACGCCTTCATCCATTCTGCACCAATGGCACCTGCCAGAAAATAGAAAAGGGCAATCCGTCAGCAAGCTATGGTGAATCCCTTCCCCCAGATAGCAAGCAACAAGTAGTGCCAATTGATCCAAAACGTACCGTCAATGACCCGGTGGTCGCAGCTCAATGTTGCTGACATAAACGAACCAACTTCAAACTGACCCTCAGCTCCAGGGATCACCCTCTTCTCAGCTGTGCACACAACAAATTTCTAGACGTGGTAAGTAAACATCATAACAAAATGGCTTCAAGCGAGCATAGACCATTAGACATGATAGATAAGCAGATCCTGATGGCGTGATTGTTAGGCAGCATGTTACCTGAGCCAATAGCCAAAATTGCTGATTGTGGAGGATTTACGATGGCACAGAATTGCTTAATTCCAAAAGGGCCTCCCAAGTTTGACACAGTGAAAGTGCCACCCTGCAAGACATTGCATCCAAATTGTCAAAGGAAAAATACTATCGAATCAAATATATATTCGGCCTATACCTCATAATCCTCTGGCTTAAGGCTGTTGTCCCTTGCTCTCTGAGCCAGTTGCTTCACCTCATCAGCGATAGTGGCTAGGCCCTTCTTGTCAGCATCCTGTAAAAACAATACAAGTTAAAGATGCTGAATAATTTTTTTAAAAAAACCATGGAAATAAATGGCATACCCTTATTACGGGAACAAACAAGCCATCCTCAGTTTGTACAGCAACATTGATGTTCACATTGTGGTATCTGCATGAGATTATATGTAGCACATCACATCATAAGTAGTAGTAGTGAACATCCCAGTCTCAATGATCAATTACTCATAACTTACTGGCGAATAAAATCATTCATCCAAGAGCTATTACACTCAGGAACATTACGAAGAGCCAATGCTGCGGCCTGCATATTGGACAATAATTTAGGTAAAACATCCTACCACTCATGCAAAATAGTAACTCTGAAAATTGTTTGTCTGAACAGGAATGATTTGCGCATGCATTGATCAAGTCTAAACTTAACTAAGCCTTGAGGAAAGAAGAGTATCACATCAAAATTTACCTTGATAACAAGATCATTTATGGATATCTTCTTGCCACCAGAGGTATCCTGCAGAGGATTCAACTCACTTCGCAACCTGGAACATAAATTAATCAAGAATTTTGCTTGTCAAGTAACCCTATAGAAAAATATGGTGCAAACAAAAACGAGGCCTCCCCCCCCCCAAAAAAAAAAAAGAGCAAATGGTTCATCTAGTAATCAACCAGAGGTTCACAAAATATGTTCTTGGGTACAGGTTGATAAAATACTAAATTGCTTGAACAAAGTTTTGATTGAAACCATACTTAATAAGTTTGTCAACACGAGTATCAACTGTCAGATAGTAGTGAGGAATGGTTTGCTTGGAGTGCAGCAGGCGGTTTGCAGTAACCTGACGAAATAATATCAGAAACTGTTAATAGAAGTAGAGCACCAACAGCAACAAAAACCTTGAAAGAAATTAAGTGGCAATGATATTACCTTCCTTATTTGCGTATTAGGAAGATCCACATAGCCTAGTCCAGGAGCTGCTGCTGTTTCCTTCTTGGCACCCTTGGCCACAGAAGCTTCATTAAGCATAAATATCATTAGATTA